CGGTGGGTGCCCGGGGCTGCTGTGTGTCGCTGCGCGCTGCGCTCTGCGCGCCGTGCTCGGTCCCGCACTCTCTCCACAGCCTCCCTCCGCCCGCCCTGGCCTCTTTTAAATCCGCTCCTGCCCTCGCAGAGAGCGAGCTCATTAATATGCAGAACCACTCGGTGACTCACTGAGATTTCTCAATGTGGTGGGGGGAGGAGACCTTCCCAGCCCGCCCGCCGCCGACCCCGGACCGGACCGCGATCGCAGCGGCGCACGCTGGGGGCCACACGCGCGCACACACTCACATCCGCCACCCTCCGGCGCACACAACACGCTCTCTTTCACACACTTGCACACTCAGGCTACAGCGTGCACACGCTTCCAGGGCCGCCGCGCTGCCTTGGGGGAGACCGGACGGTGGAGAAGCCGCTGAAGGGCACTACTATTCTGATTCGCTTGGTTCCCTCTCTGGCCGGACAGGCCTATTCTGAGCCGCTGGGAGACCCAGGCCCGGGGCCCAGATCCTCAGAGAAGACCTGAAAGGGTTTGGGGGCCCGTGCCAAGTGTGAGTGCCAGCAGGCCTGACCCCTGGGGTGTGGGCAGTTGCTGTTGGGCCAGCAGTGCCGGTGGCCAGAGCACAAGGCCGGGTGTGGACAGGGGTTTGTCATAGACTATACAGCAGCAAAGCCATTGCCTGCGGTCGCTGAAACTTACTCAAAGAGAATGTGTGTGAGTTTTGGTCACTCCCAGAGAAAGGCTCCCTACCTGTGGCCTGGTAGCTGTGTGAGTGTCTAGGGGGTGAGGAGAGCAGGGGGACTCCTCAATGTCACACTGCTCTCCAGAGCAATGGGAACAATGACAATGGGAACCATCTGGATGAAGGCCCTACCATGTTCAGACATGGTGCCAGGCTGTGTGGTGCAGTGGTGTGGGTTCAGCCCTGCGGCAGAAACACCTGCCCCATTACTTACCAGCACAAGTGGCTCTGCACGGTAAAGGGTGGCTGAGAGAAGTACATAAGATCATACAGATAAAGTGATTAACAGGATGCCTAATCCGTAGTCAGTGCCCAGGAAATGTTACTTTCTGGCATCATTCTTATACAAGGGTACTTCAAAAAGTTCATGGAAATATTCGATTTTACCAAAACCTTTTTGAAGTATGCTTGTATATATTTTATGTATATGTTTTTTACTCTTACAACTCCTCTTCCAAACTGGTACTTTTACTTTCTTTGACAGGCATGGAAACAGGCTTAGAGAGAAGAAATAACTTGCCCAAGGTCACAGAGCCAGGAAGCAGGTGAGTAGACCCAGAGGGTCCCCAGTATATATGGCTGCAGAACTAGGACTCCTGTTCTGGACCACTCTGCCGCCCTCAGGCCCCTCAGCCCTTCATCGGGGAAGCCCTTCCTTGAGAGACCCAGAGACAGCAGATGTAGCACCTCAGGCTCATGGGGTCTCTGGGCTTGGCTCCCAGGCCAGAGCTCACCCAGTGCTCAGCTCTCAGCCTGGCAGCTCCCTGGGGGTTGCACGTGCGCAGAGGAGCTTCTGCGGTGGGTGGGGGGCAATCTGCTGAGGGGCCGAGTGGAGAGAATCTGTGCTGTCTCTTCCCAACTGGAGAGCCCTTACTGCCTCTAGGGGGAGCTGAGCCGAGAACAAGGAGCAGAGCCTACGCGTGTAGTTGTACCTATGCTTAAAGCAAGGCCCATAGCTGGACTTTTGCGTTTATTCAGAGGAGGGTGAGGGAAGGATTTGTGGCATTTACATTAACATTTTTAAATTTAAAACTAGTTTTCTTATTGCAGAAACAGCACACATTTGTTACAGAAAAATCAGAAAACACAAGCAAAGGAAAACAAAATACACAAGTGATTCATCCACTTAGAAATCTATACCAAGATGCTGACAGTGTGATCTTTCCAAGTCCTTCCCTCTTTGCTTTGCATGCTTGTGCACAAATTGGGGTCAGGCTGCATGCACTGTTTAATTAGCTGCTTGTTGTCCATATAGCATGGACATCGTCCCATGTGACTAGACTTGCTTCTACAATATCTCTTTTAATGGTGTCATTTGAGGCTGTGTAGTATAATGGTTAAGAGCCTGCTGCCTGGAGTCAGACTGCCTGGGTGTGAATCC